GTGATAAATTCAAACAATTAAAAGGTATCTCTTCCCTCCCACCTCCTATTCTTTATGCACAACAATGAATTTACCTGAGGATTCTAGGTTGCTAGATTATGCTAACCATAAATGTTCATACTTTCTTCTGTAAACTCACTATAAGAGAATGTGCACTTATGTCAGAAAATGCTATTGGCTGAAATGTTACATCCTATACTTTAAAACCATGAAATAAATTTTCATGGTCACACTGAAATAAAGCTTCCCTTCCCAAAGCTTAAATGTAGGGGCAAAATTGAGATAAATAATCAGTTAATTCAGTCTTGTAATACTTTAATACCAGTGGTATGCTCTCATCAAGAAAAGAAACTTAAAAAGTATCACTTGGGTGAAATGAGATAAGATCAGGAAGGCTGGGAAATGAATAGATGGCCATCGATAGAGCTAACTGCTAAGGGATTGCAGAAAATTTAGAGAATTCATGCACTTAGGAGATGTGGGGAAACAAAATAATCATAATGATAATCACAAATGGTATTTGAGCTTATGCTACATGGTAAATATTGTCCAGGTACCTCTATAAGCATTGATTGTGGGAACTGCATAGAAATACCAATTTGGAGACTCTGGAGGAATAAAAAAGGAGGCCGTCTCAGGGAAACATCCCCAGGAACAGATTTACAGTGAAGAGAGACTTTTCCTCTAAGAAGTCGTGTGTGTGGACATCAGAGTGAGGCTCAGTTGGTTTCTGGACAGTGGGAAGAAGGATAACTTGCCCGTGAGTGTGGAGGCAGCCCAGATGGATTGCTTTCTGAGGGCTAGAACAAGTAAAGGAGGAAGACAGTGTAGGTAGAGCAGACCTTTCCACCAATACTACACACATGTAATTGGAACATCTCTGACTAATTTCACAAAGTCACACACAATGATAGATCTTGTTTGAAAAATGGGATTGGAACAGACCACTCACAGTCTATGCAGTTCTGCAGCCATAGAACCAGTAACAACTGTAATCAAATCAAAACACAGACCCTGTAACTCCCACCTGGCATTTAGAATCCCGGTAAATCCATCTTAGCCCTGTACCCTAGGGCCCCAGCCTCCTGCTCCTTACTAACAGGTCCTCGAAGTCATTCCCTTCTAATGGAGACCACCTTCTCTGCCAACTTAAAAACACGACCCAGGGCTTGTCTTCATCAGTCCATGTTCTTTCCTTTTACACTCAGAAGGTGCGCAGAAGATCCATAGCTCCTTTAGCTGTTCCTGCAGTTTCCCAGACAGCTTAAGAGGGAAGAAAGAGGCACGGCTCTAGAAAACACTAAACTTCTTGCCACTTTTTAGACTAACCAAAGACAATCTGGCAGGATCTTGAGCTTTGTTTAATAGCTATCGAATACCCTTTTATTTAAGAAAAATTGCCCCTGATCACTGTAAAACTTTAATGTCCAAAAAAATAAAATCACACCTGAACCAAAGAGACTACTGTGTTATCTGCATGTCACTCCGAGTTTTGCTAATCCTATTTGAGCTAATCTGCATTACAGAAGCATGCCATGTAACAAAAGAGACTGAATTCTGGCTCAAAAGGGAAAAAAAGAAAAATGGAATATAAAAATTAGAACCATTTGCATATGTAACTTAGAATGTCTCATTTACCTTAACATAAATAATTCTGTATATTTTCCCCCACCTGGTGTGGTTCAGTGAATTGAGTGCTGTCTTGTGAATCAGGGTGTGACTGGTTCAATTCCCAGTCAGGTCACATGTCTGGATTGTGGGCCAGGTCCTCAGTTGGGGACACGCAAGAGGCAACCACACACTGATGTTTCTATCCCCCTCTTTCTCCTTCTTTTACTCCTCTCTAAAAATAAATAAATAAAATCTATTTTTAAAAAGAATTATCTATATTTTTAGCAGCTCAAAAGGCTGACAGAGCATTTTGTGCTGGGATGGAGCATTGAAGTATTAGAGGATAGATAAACAGTATTTTAGGGAATTTTGGTAATTTCCTGAACAGTATGGTAGGAAGTTACTAAGTTTATACCAATGTGTGAAAAGGGACTCATCTGTTTCAGCTTCACTTAAGCATCCAAACTAGACTTCACAGGACTTGGGAAGCACAGACTTTTGCCATTCTTCACATATTGTCATGTTTGCCACCCATGGTCACTCAAGTTTAATTGATAGAAACACTGCAAGAAATGATATTGCCAGTGCAGCAACACTAAATTTAGGTCTTGGGGATTCAGAGTTGGCCTGAAGGCCGTGCCATGCCTCAGTGTACAGGGTAGCTATATGGTAGGTAACAGAGGCCCACATGACTGAATATGGGGAAAAAACTGCTTGTTTTACTAAGAGCTGTCAAGTGCAATTTTAACTAATGTTATAAACACCAAAAGCCTGTTTTAGTAGTCTTATGGAGTTGGTCAAGCTTTTTTTTTTTACATTTTGTAGTATTTGGCTAACCCAAGTCATTTCAATGGAATTCTCTTACCACTTGTTCCATTTCTCTGTCCCCAACTCTTTCTAAAATCACATTTTAGTTTTTCCTTATTACTGGAATAAATGTTCCATGGATAACCCTTCCCTTGTGGCTTGGCTTTCATATTACACGTAGATAACATTCATCTCTTGAAAAATTGTTCCATTTTCAAATAGCTGCCATAATTTCCCTCTACTGTTGGGTAGGGGGTGGTTTTTTCATATATGGTCAGACAGCACACAAAGAAGCACGGGGTTGTTGGACTATAGCAGGATGAGAAATGGGCTGAAACTCAGACGCCCAAAGTTCTGGTTTTGCCACTAGCTCATCCTAAAGTCTGGACAGGCTGCTTCCTAATCGCTCTGTGAGACAGTTCCTATTTATGTTAAATGGTGTTAACACTAGCTCACCTCATATAGTGACACTGTGAAGGGGACAGCCATAAGCAAACACATTAATTTAGAAGGAACACACCAAGGTACATCATCATTACATTAGCCAAGATTAAAATGAATAAGAGAATCCTAGAAGCAGCAAGAGATAAGGGGAAAGTCACCGACAACGGAGTTCCCATCAGACTATCAGCTGATTTCTCAAAAGAGACCTTGCAGGCAAGAAGGGGCTGGAAAGAAGTATTCTAAGCCATGAAATCCAAAGTCCTACATCTCTCCAGCAAAGCTTTCATTTAGAATGGAAAGACAGATAAAGTGCTTCTCAGATAAAGTCAAATTCAAGGAGTTTATCATCACCAAGCCCTTATTATATGAAATATTAAAGGGACTTATCTAAGAAAAAGAAGATAAAAAAATATGAACAGTGAAAGGACACCAAACTCGCAGTTAGTAACAACCACACCTAAAACAAAAGCAAACTAAGAGGACAGCTAGATCAGGAGCAGAACCATAGAAATGGAGATCACATGAAGGGTTAGCAACAGGGGAGTGGGAGGAGGATAAGGGGGGAGAAGGTATAGAGAATAAGCAGCATAGACAGTAGGTAGAAAATAGATAGGGGGAGGGCAAGAATAGTATGGGAAATACAGAATCTAAAGAACTTGTGAAATATGGACATGAACTAAAGGGGGGGATGGTGGGGAAGGGGGTGTGTGGGATGGAGGGGAATGAAGAAAGGACAACTATAATGGCATAATCAATAAAGTATTTTTAAGTGAAACAAAAAAAAAAAAAGAAAGAAATTACCTATGTGTGTGTTCTATTTAGTCCTGATAATCCTCTGGGAAAAGTGGTCTCCTTTTGTTGTTTAGGAAATTAGACCCTATAGACAAGATAAAAATTCCACAGTTTTTCTAGTGTTATGTATTTATGTATGTATGTTTATACATATGCTTGATGTAAACTAAATATATATGGGTGTGTGTATATACACATGCACACACAAATATACATACATATACCTCCTTGAAAATTATGGTTCATAAGAGTTTTAAAAGGAATAGTCAAGGGTAATAGTCTCCTCACCTACTACAAATCATTATTTCAACCTGAGTAGTATCTTGTTTGTCATCTTTATACTCCAGGTTTAGCTGTTCCACAGCAGAGTCAGTACATTTTTCTCTCTGCTGAAGAGGAGTTATAATGACATATTTTCCCTCTCATTTTAGAACACTTTGATTTTATCTTTACAAGGTATATAAAATTCATATAATTATTTTACTTGCAATTTCTGTGGATCTTAAACTTGGGGATGATCAAAGGGACACAATTAATGTCAGAATATCTGGTAAGCTTGACTCCACACGGAAATGCTTCTATGGGCGGGTTAGTGCCATGATGTAAAGACAGGAAAAAGCTCCGGATGCTTTTGAAAATGACCATCCTCCAGTTGGAGCAAAGCTTCTTTAGTATGCCCAGTCATGAAAACACCCCCACTGTCAAGAAGCCAGCTGTTACAACAGTGGAGGAGGGGTGGTGGGACTGAAGTGCAAGAATTTTATTATATTGACCATGAGGAACAGCATAGGGCTAATAAAGCTTTCTAAGATTCCACAAATCGGACCAATCTGTTATCTTTCTCTAGGTCATGTGAGAATCTGAAAGTGGATCTGACTGGCAGATGATGGTACCATTATAATATAATGCTCTTCAATAGAACTTTCTGAGATAATGGAACGGTATGATAGTTCTGCTGCCCAATATGGGACAACTAGCCACATGTGGTGATTGAATACTTTAAATGTGGTTAGTGTGACTGAGGAACTAAACTTTTAATGTTATGGAATTTTAATTAATTTTAATTTAAATAGCCACCTTTGGCTAGTGACTACCAGATTGTTCAGTGCCTGCCTGCCAATTATGCATATTTCTGTTGCTTAGGAGACTAATCACCGTGACACCAAAGGAATTTCCCATTCACTGATCTTGAGAATATTTTGGGGTGAAAGTGTATGACAGAAAGGGGATTTTCAAAGCCTAAGTATGTGTGGAATTTCAAGATCAACCCATATAATGATGGTGCCTTTTCAGCAGTGACGAGAAAGTTGTATTTCAGATTGTGACTCTTCTTTTTCTTTTCCCAGGTTCTTTCATGTTGGTGAACACATCTGGGAGATCTGAGGGGCAGAGAACCCAGCTCCTCTTACCACAGCTTAAAGAAAATGATACTCACTGCATTGATTTTCACTATTTTATATCCAGCAAGAGTAATTCTGCTCCTGGGTTACTCAATGTCTACGTGAAGGTCAATAATGGGCCTTTGGGGAATCCTATCTGGAATATATCTGGAGACCCAACACGTACATGGAACAGGGCAGAACTGGCCATTAGTACTTTTTGGCCCAACTTCTATCAGGTATGCTCTTTGTTTTCATTTCATGTTGTGATACACCCTCTAATTTCTAAAAATCTAGTTTTCTGTTGTATAAACAGAATGTGTAAGAAGTGTTGATATTTTTTATACCAATGTAAGGAAAGTTTCACTATTTGAAAGCAAGTGTATTTAGGATTTTTTTGTAATATTACCTTTAGAAAGTAGTAAAAGACACAATTCAAATTTGTTTATGTGTATATTGTTATTAGAAAAAAGAAGCAGTAACCTTGCTGCAGGGTAGGAAGTGCTATCTGCAAGGATATTTTACTTTCTATATTAAGTAAGCAAAAATCTCGGCCAGGGAGTCCTCGCACTTCATTCTAAAAGAACAAGCCCCTTCTTCCATCAATGGATCTCAGGAGTAGATGAGTCATTAAGAAGTGAGCCCTTGTGGACTCAGCTCCCACCACATAAGCAATGGGAAGAAAATACCTCATGTAGGCTGTCCTTGCTGCAGTCATTGGAAATATTCTCTTGAGACCCACACTGCCCACTCTGAGTTCTCACTTAAACTAACAAAGGAGGAGGTCCAAGAGAATTAAGAAGTGGTACAAAAGAAATCTTGCTGTCACATTCTGATTGTTGGAGAGTTCCTGTAATGCAAAAGCATCCTGACTTGGGGTTAAAGGTGGAAAATTAGTGACAGTGGCATTTGGTGCTCTTTTTCCTTTTGTCCACAGCACCTTTAAAAACAACTTGATTTTTAAAAACAACTCAATTTCTAGCTAAAAGGACACATTAAGAGGATTGTGATAGTTTGCTTTCTCTTAATTCCTTTGGCTCACTCAGGAGCCAAATGGAACATGTTTCAAACCAAGGTCATCTCACCTCTTGTGTTTAATTGAGGTGCTCAGCTAGTCAGGGAATGGAAAAATGGGTCTTCTTCAGGACTGCTTGCAGTCTGAAGGGTGTGAATGGCGCCCAGGAATCTATTCTACAGGTTTGATGTTTATTAGGAAGAGGCTTCAATGGGAGTAAATGGGCTCTAAGTTCCTTGCTTTATTTATTTTTGTACCCTCATACCTATACAACATCTGGTATTTAATGAGTGATAAGTGTTTCTTAAGTGGAAATGAAGGGGTAGTGAAAGCTGTAATTCACATGTAAGTTGTTTTAAATCTTTATTTAATAGAGTATACTTTGGCAATATATTTTAAAGGTGATGAATTTTAGACATATCTAAGTTTAGTGATCTATTGTTAGGAATTCATCCTATGGAAACAGTGAAAAGTGGTTGCAAATAATTAACTACAAGGGTATTCATGGCAGTTTACTTATAATAATTGAAAAATTAGAAACAGTATTATTTCTAATAGTAGATGATTAGTTAATATATGCTACCTCAATAAAAAATTATTTTGTAACTATTAAAAATAATTTTGTGGAGGACCATTTCATGATGAATTTAAACTTATGTTGTTAAGTAAAAAAAAATTTGTATAAAGCCATATGTTAAATCCCATTCTTTAAATATATATTGTACAGTATATGCTGAAATAAATATATTTAAAAATGCTATCTCCCCAGCTAGTGATTTGATTTTTTTCTTTCTTTCATCTGCCATATTCTGAAATTTCCACAATGTACATGTCTTGTTTTTACTTATGAAATAAAAAAGAGTAAAAACTATTTTTTTCTTCCAGAGGAAAATATTCTATTTAATGAATAACCTTATTTTTGTATGTCTGTGGTATAATTCCAAAATATGGCCTCCGGGGGGGAAGTTTCGTCTTTCATAGATTAAAATGGAAGCAGGGGAAGTGGGTTTGGTGAGCCTAGGCTTCAAAGGGCTTTTGTATGGTAGACTAGGCTTAGAAGCTGAGTGTTTTTAGAAACTTCTTTTGGAGGAGACTTTCCAAAAGGAGATAAGGGGTAGTACTGTTACATTCCTACCACTGGCCCTCTGGAACTTGCACTGAACTCCTTCTTAGGCATGTGCTGGGTAGAGGCCAGTAGAACACAATTGTAGACAATGTCAGAGGGTATGTCCTGCTTGCCTGTACCCTGATTTGCTCCCCTTTCTTTTTGGTGAGGGCGCTCTTTCTGGCTTACAGATGACTGCTTCCTCATCTTCTCCTGTGCTCATACGGCCTTTCCTCCACGTGTGGGAAGAGAGAGTGTGTCCAGGTCTCTCTTCCTCTTACTATACATACACTAATCTCATTATGAGGGCTCCATGTTCATGACCTCATACAAACTTAATTACCTCCTAAAGTTTCATCTCAAAATACCATCACATTGGGGTTTATGGTTTAACACATAAATTTGGGGAGGTGGTTACCACACGCAGTCCACAGCAGCCTTTAATACAGCTAACTCAGACCATCAAAATTAAAGGAATGATTTAATTTATGAAGTCTTAGATTAGCCTTTCAGAAGGAATGATCAACTATATTAAAAGAAAGGTAGTACTATATAGCAAACCATTGTCATTTTCTTTTTTTAAGATTTTATTTATTTATCTTCAGAGGGAAAGGGAAGGAGAGAGGGAGAGAAATATCAATGTATGGTTGCTTCTGGTGCATCCCCTGCTGGGAACTGGCCTGGAACCCAGGCATGTGCCCTGACTGGGAATCGAACTGCGGTTTTTTGGTTCATAGGCCCACGTTCAATCCACTGAGCTATACCAGCCAGGGCCCATTGTCATTTTCAATAAATTCTTTTTTATTGATCTCTTTTTTATTGTTTTTTATTACAGTTATCCCCATTTTCCCCCATTACTCTCCCCTGCCCTACCCAACCTCTACCTCCCACATTCAGTACTCCCCCCTGCTTTGTGTCCTTTATACACATTCCTTGGCTTGACCCTTCCCCTTTTTTCCCCTATTATCCCCCTCTCCCCTCCCCTCTGGTCACTGTCAGTTTGTTCTTATTTCCGTGTCTCTGGTTCTGTTTTGCTCACTTGTTTTGTTAATTAGGTTCCACTTACATGTGAGATCATATGGTACTTGTCTTTCACTACCTGGCTTATTTCACTTAGCAGAATGCTCTATAGTTCCATCCATACTGATGTGAAGGGTAGGAGTTCTTTCTTTCTGCTGCATAGTATTCCATTGTGTAAAAGTACCACATTTTATTGATCCACTCATTTACTGATGGGCACTTAGGTTGCTTTCAGCACTTGGCTATTGTAAATAATGGAGATTTGAACACTGGGATACATAGGTTCCTTTGAACTGGTGTTTCAGGATTCTTAGGGTATAATTGCAGCAGTGGAATTACTGTGTCAAAAGGCAGTTCCATTTGCACTTATTTTAGGAAATTCTGTTTTCCACAGTGGCTTCACCAGTCTACATTTCTACTAACAATGGACTAGGGTTCCCTTTTCTCGATAACCTCACCAGCACTTGCTGTTTACTGATTTGTTTATCATGGCCATTCTGACCAGTGTGAAGTGGTATCTTATTGTGGTTTTAATTTGCATCTCTATGATGGCTAGTGATGCTGAGCATCTTTTTACATGCCTCTGGGCCATGTACATACCCCTTGGAGAAGTATCTGTTCAGCTCCTTTGCCCGGTTTTTAAATTGGGTTACTTGTCTTCCTGGAGTGGAGTTGTGTGAGTTCTTTATATATTTTGGAAATCAAACCCTTGTCTGAGGTATCATTCACAAATATATTTCCCATACGGTTGGTTCCCTTTCCACTTCACTGATGTTTTCCTTAGCTGTGCAGAAGCCTTTTAATCTGATGAAGTCCCATCTCATTATTCTTTCCTCTATATCAGTTGCTCTTAGGCTTATATTGGTGAAAATATTGCTGTATGGAATATCTGAGATTTTCCTGTCTCTAGAATTTTTATGTTGTCATAACTTATATTTAAGTCTTTTTATCCATCTTGAGTTTATTTTTGTGTATGGTGTAAGTTGGTGGTTGAGTTGCACTTCTTTGCATGTAGCTATCCAGTTCTCCCAACACCATTTGTTAAAGAGGCTACTTTTACTCCATTGTATGCTCCTGCCCCCTTTGTCAAATATTAATTGACCACAGAGAAATGGATTTATTTCTGTTCTCTCTATTCTGTTCCATTGATCTATATGTCTATACCTATGCCAACACCAGACTGTTTTGATTACCGTGGCCTTGTAATATAGTTTGATATCAGGTATTGTGATCCCTCCTACTTTTTTCTTCTTTCTCAAAATCGTTGAAGTTATTGGGGTCATTCAGAGTTCCATATAAATTTTTGAAATGTTTTTTCTATATCTGTGGAATATGTCATTGATATTTTAATAGGGATTGTGTTGAATCTATAAATTGCTTTGGGTAGTATGTACATTTTGATGATATTAATTCTTCTAATCCATGAACACAGTATACCCTTCCATTTGTTTGTCTTCCTTAATTTCTGTCTTCAGTGTTGTGTAGTTTTCTGAGTATAGCTCTTTTACCTTCTTGGTTAGGTTTATTTCTAGGTACTTTATTTTTCTTGTTGCTGTAGCAAATGGGATTTTTTTTCTAATTTTTGTTTCTGATATTTCATTGTTGGTGCACAAAAGTGTCTTCAATTTCTGAATATTGACTTTTTACCACACTGTTTTGCCAAATTCACTTATTAGGTTGAGTAGTTTTTTGGTGGAGTCTATAGGGTTTTCTATATACACTGTCATGTCATCTGCAAACAGTGACACCTTTACTTCCTCCTTTCCAATTTGGATGCTTTTTTTTTTTGGTCTGGTCACTGTGGCTAGAACTTGCAATTCTATATTGAATAGAATTGGTGAAAGCAAACACCCTTGTCTTATTCCTGATCTTAGTGAGAAAGCTTTTAGTTTTTGCCCATTGAGTATGATGTTGGCTGTAGATTTCTTGTATATGACCTTTATTATGTTGAGGAATACTCCCTCTACTCCTACTTTGCTGAGTGTTTTTATCATAAATGGGTACAATACCTTATCAGATGATTTTTCTGCATCTATTGGTATGATCATGTGATTTTTGACTTTCCTTTTATTTATGTGATGTATTACGTTTTTTGATTT